AATTGCAAGTTTTATTAATTTGGAGATCCAATTTGTAAGTATAATTTTTTTGAAGTCATTAGAGCTCTGACCTGAATATTTGGAGATATATTTTATGATTTATTGAGATTGATTAATTGATTTATCAAATAACGCATTTGAGAAATTGGGGCGTTACATTTCGGTTGATGAATGTTTTAGAATTTTGTGTTTTTTAAATTCTGGTTCGTAGATTATCAATGAATGAACTGAATTATCCGTGAGACAAATGGATTTTATATTATTCGGATATTGGTATAAATTGTCAAACCAAATTTAGACCAAAACTTTATATTTTTTGTCTTTAAAACACTAGAATATCATTGTATGTTTGAAGATTCTTTAGATAGATTTTTATTTGGGTGCTGAATGTCATAATCGAGTATTACGTTAAATAGATATATAACAAAAGAATTTGTTTTTATGTTCAAAATCAAGAATTTTGTATTATGATTTGAGACTCATTTAATTATTTTTATTTTTATTTTAGTTTTTGATTGTTGTATTGGTATTCATAGTTCATTTTGTAAATTATTTATTCTTATATTTATGTGGTTTTTTTAACATATGTTGTACAATTTTCAACATTTTGGTTTGATTCTTTGTTCGGTGTCACTATTTTTATTTTAAAAATTAAGTTTATTTATTTTGTTAGAATCAAGAATTGAGGGAACGGTGATGCTTTTATGCAAATATAGTTTTGAGATGTTAGTTATCCAATGTTCTGTTCGTTCCAGGTTTAATTTTTTTTTTTTTTGCATGGAATTTGCGAGAAATGTGAGGAGTTGAGAAATGTGTCGGTTTGAATATCTTATTTTATGCTAGGTTATCCAAATTGTTGTTTGCGAAATAATGAGAACTTGAATAATATGTTTGATCTGGCACGTTGTATTAATATCAATCATGTTGATGTGATAGTTTATATGCGAGATGATGAGTCATGCGCCGTTGTTGATGATGTTTTGCTTGAAGATGTTCATATTGGTGATAGTGGGGTTGAATCTAAGGATGATTTATTTCCTCGTTTTCGTTCTTAATAGTGAAAAAATTCTATTAACATTTTGGGTGGGTAAATGAAATAAGGCATCAAGGTCAGAAGTTTGAAGATGGTGTGACGCATTTTTGGAATGTCCTATGCAAATACTCGATCGAAGTTGGGTTTAAGTTTAACTATGTGAATAATTATAAAACGAGGGCTATTGATGAATAATTTTAAATTGTGATTAGGGATCTAATTGTTTCTGTAGGTTATTTGTATGACTGAAAGCTTCAATTATTCTCGACAAATTTTGTTCATTGATAAAATCTTTCTTAAATGAATGTATAAAATAAATATTTTTTGGACAATTGAGAAAGATGGTAATGAAGATATAAGTCTTGTTCTAATTTTATGCCTTAATGGCTGTGACATTGTCATCGTATGTTATCATTGTCTGTTGTCATTGCCATTGTCACTGTATTTATAATTAATTGTGTCACTTTTCAGTTATTATTGTTTGATTCTAACCTCGTCATTTTTTATTTATTTATTATGTTAACAAGTCATATTATTTTTGAATTCACAACGAAAATTAGTCCAATGTTCTTGTCACGTTAAGGTTGAAAGCCATTCCAACTCAAGCGTCACCCCTGACCAACCCATCTTTAAGACTACTTTAGGTGACGATTGGATGCGGTGACCATACTAAAAACTAATAATACCGGGTGGCCGAACAGAGCAATGTTATTTGCACTAAATCATTTGTAACCGTTAAATTAGTAAATTCTATTTTTTATCTAATGAATATAATTAATTTGGTATAAATTTTGATACACAAATTTAACGCTCCCGCTGAATATAATAACAAAGCACAAACCTCAGCTTCTAATCATTATTTTAAGTTATTATTATTTTTCCCATCATGCATGAGATTCGATGACATCCTTGTTCGCAGTTAATGCCAAATCAGTCTCTATATCTTGGGAAGATATTGTCTAAAGAACAAAACAAAATGAGTGTGGCCTACTACTACTACTACTACTACTACTATATATATATATATATCTCAAAGATGATTAAGACCCTTTCGTTTTTAAATAATTAAAAAATATATATATTAATTATTTTAAAAAACATTCTGACAACATCAAAAGCAATAATAATTAATTATAAATACATAATATTTTATGTATAATGTACATCACATTACGCCAAGAAATAGTAAATATTTTTTTCATTGTGATGACATCTTTCAATAATGCATTTGTGGTTTTTTCCTGGAAATGATCAGTGGGGCCATTTCTTCTTCTTTTTTTTTTTACTCAAATAAGTCTCGATATTGTTTATCTTTTAGGTGAAGACTTTGATATAGGTGTTACATACTATGTAAGTTTATTATCATTTTTTAATTAAGTTATAATTTTGAGAAAACTTCATCCACATCTTTTGACAAATATCTTATTTTTCAAAAATATTTTATTTTTAAAGACGTTTCTTTATTTTATTTTTAATTCATATGTTCATTTATATACCCCTTTTAAAACTGCTGGGCATCATTCTAAAACCATTCTAGGATACCAATTTTACACTCCTTCACCATATACAAGTACAACCCCTTCCTCCCCATCTGCCCTTCTATATCTTTTGCCACAACTTCCCTGTCCCACCCCCCACAGCCACCCTCTCCCTTCCACCACCCCCTGGACACACCTGTCAACCTCAATTCAAACTAACTCAACTACTTCAAACATAAAAAATTATAATAATTGTATAAAAAATATTTTATATTTACTAATTAAATTGATTGGTTGAAATTAAAAAATTATCTAGTCAATCTTCTCTAAACACCATCAATAGTGATATTATCTATTTTTTCAACATCACTTTCCTAAATCATTAAAAGAAAAAAAAAACTATTAGATTCTTTCAAGTAGCTCTTCAACTAAAAAGTTCTATCACATCACCCATATCAAGATCCTTCAATAATGTGTCGCTCTTTGGACTTGTCGAAGTGGATGAAGCTAAGAGAAAAAATAATACAGTAGTCATACTTTACCCCAAAAGAAAAAATTATGATACCCATATAAATAATATTTTATTATCTCGTTTGAAGAAGTCTTTTGCAATGTGGACTGATCACACTCCCACTTTTGCTAAAAGCAGATTTCAAGGTAACAGTAAAAACAAAAACAACAAAAAAGATCTTTAGCAATCATTTGAAATAGGGGATATTTGAGACCACTTGACTTCCAAAAATATAGTATATCAAAATCTGAAGTTCTTGAAATCATATCATCTTCTAAGAAACGATCCAATTTAGACCTCCCATGCGCTTTTATTATGTCTTTTATTTCTATAAACTTATCAAAATCGGATAAATCAACAATTAGTAGACATTTGAAACGAATATTTGATTGAAGAGATGAAGGAGAAGGCTACAGTTTATAATTATTTCCTTGTCTTGCTTCATATTCGCCTACTAATTTCAAATCAAAGCTCCTTTCTCATCACTTCATTTGAAGTTTTCATATCTTCATATATATATTTTTTATAGTAATTCTCTAACATTTCCAACTTATACTGTGGACCTAAAGTAGTGGCTACTTCTTTGGCACTATAAATCACACTCCGATATTTTTTAAACTTTTTCAACAAACATTGTCTCAAATTTAAATGAGTAGCGAGCAAAATTCCTTGATGTCCACAAAGAAGAAGATGCAGCGAGTTGACCCAGAGTATTACCCAAAAATCAAATACTTTTGACGAGAGAGAGAGAGAGAGGGGGGGAGGATATTAAGCAAAGTAGTTATTACCTACCCATGAGTGGTTAGGAAACGACTGTGCCACGACTCAAAGAAGAAAAGAACTTTTTATCCGACAAGGAAAATAAACAATTAAAGCCCGTGTGAACATTTTATGGGCCCTTTATTAGAGTAGAGGCGGACATGACTAATCCATACAACAATAAGTAAATGCTTGTTTAATTAATAATGATTTCTTCTGGATTATTTGTTCCTATCATAATCACGGTCACTGCGCCGCCTCAAATAATCACAACGTACGACCCTCAATCGTTGCTTAACATGATTGTATATAATCATTATTTCTGTTTAAATATGATTTTTCAGNCCCTCAATCGTTGCTTAACATGATTGTATATAATCATTATTTCTGTTTAAATATGATGTTTCAGTGATTCTGCTGAAATCAGATTTCGAATCTTATTATACTATTTATGTCTAATTTAAAAAACTATTTTTTTTCCTTCCACGAAATATATTGTACAAATTAGACCAAGCAGTAGAGCCATACTACACTAACAAGGATCGTGTGGGGACACTTGGCCCCACGCACCGACTAATTATTGCTTTCAGTGTGCTAGGGGATCATTACCATCTTTAACTTTCTTTACTTTAATGCTTTCCAAACCAACTGGAGCATACTTCTATTACAAGTCGGTTTGGTTTGCAGCTTTATGTGAATCGAATTGATCCATTGCATCAATCAAAATCACATGTTTATACATACTTTTGAATAAAAGAACAGAAAAAAATTATGCAAAAAACCAATAATCTTATTAAATATTCATAAAGCTTTGCACATGCCATCGAGACAAATCAAAAAAAACGAAAATGCAATTCCTATGAATTCCAAGATTAAATCAACGAACTTAATCAATTATAATTATTACATAATTAAAAGTGACTCTATTCAAATTTTAGAATCCATAACTAATTTAAANTCCATTGCATCAATCAAAATCACATGTTTATACATATTTTTGAATAAAAGAACAGAAAAAAATTATGCAAAAAACCAATAATCTTATTAAATATTCATAAAGCTTTGCACATGCCATCGAGACAAATCAAAAAAACGAAAATGCTATTCCTATGAATTCCAAGATTAAATCTACCAACTTAATCAATTATAATTATTACATAATTAAAAGTGACTCTATTCAAATTTTAGAATCCATAACTAATTTAAAAACAATAAAAAATTAAGTAGCTAGATTAAGTTGCCTAATTAAGTTCAGGAAACGGACCAAACAGTCTATAAGCATCGCTCCTGCTGCAATGCCAATACAGATGCACCATCGTTTCAGATCTAACCTAGCTGAATGAGCAACAACCGCAGCCAACTCAATCTCTACCAGCTGCAGGACAACGATGGCTCCTACAAGGACAAGAAACCCACAGTTCTTATGCTTAAACATCCCCTCAAAACCATTAGTTTTGTCAATCTCTCTTGTGTTGATCAGTACAGAGACTTGGCAAAGCATGTAGGAGTTGAAAATTAAAGCTTCTAATGTGGTCTCGTCCACCTGGAGAATAGATTTTCCCTTGAAATGCAGAATCAATAGAAGAGTGACTTGGAACAAAGATTGAACAGCTATGTTTCTCTTCATTCTCTGGGTAAAGATTGAACCGCCAGCACCATATACTGGTGGCGGCGGTCTCTCTAGTCGAATCTGAGAAGGCGGCGGCTCCGCCGCCATTGATGTGGTGGCCAAAGCCAAGGCACCAAGAACATCCATAATTAGGTTTACCCACAGGAGCTGAAATGGTGTTATTGGCATTTCACTTGTGCAAACTTCAAGAATGAGATTCAAAGTGAAGGCAACAATGTTAAAAGTCATCTGGAACTGTAAGAACTTCTCAAGATTGTTGCAGACACCTCTTCCCAACTTTAAGAGGGCAGAGATTGTCAAGAAATCCATGTCCAAGACAGCTATGTCCACATCTTCCTCTGCTTCTTCTGCACCAATATGACCGAGAAAAAGCCCGACGTCGGCTTCGACTAGGGACGGAGCGTCTCTAGTGCACGTTCCGGTGACTGCCACCACCTCGCCATTCTGTCTCAAGCACTGCACCATTAATAATTTATCGGAAGAAGAGGTGGTATCGGCCATCACGCGGAGGTTATCGATCAGGCTCTTGCGTTCTTCCTCAGAGATGNTCTTCCTCTGCTTCTTCTGCACCAATATGACCGAGAAAAAGCCCGACGTCGGCTTCGACTAGGGACGGAGCGTCTCTAGTGCACGTTCCGGTGACTGCCACCACCTCGCCATTCTGTCTCAAGCACTGCACCATTAATAATTTATCGGAAGAAGAGGTGGTGTCGGCCATCACGCGGAGGTTATCGATCAGGCTCTTGCGTTCTTCCTCAGAGATACTTCGAAATTCAGAGGCGTTGATTATTGCTCCATGAATGTCTTCTTCAGGACTAAGAATTCCGGAGTTGATGGCCATGATTCTGGCTGTGTTTAGATCATCACCCACGACTAACTTGATCTTAACTCCTGCTTCTCTACAACCTTTGACTGCTTCTCTCACCTGCGGTGTATAAGGGTTCTTCAAGGTCACTATGGCCAATAAGGTTAAGCCATACTCTACGGGTTTGAGGATTTCTTCTTCTTCTTCAAGTTTCAGGGATTCCTTTTTCTTTTGTACGATAATTTGTTTGTATGCAAAAGCAAAGCACTGGAGACCCTCTGAGGAAATAGTTTCAATGATTTTCTTAAAAACTACCATTTTGTCTTCATCTAGGGTTTGCATAGTTCCATCAACGTCATAATATTCTGAACACATGGATAGTGCCATCTCAGGGTCTACTTGCCAGTGCACATGCAAAGCTTTACCGCCAACCTCACCATTTCTCCTCAACAATAAGCCCCTTCGATTCTTGCTGAGATCAAAAGCGTGAGTATGGAGGATGGTGCAACTTCGATCCGACTCCTCCATATTGATGCCAAGCACTTGCTGAGCCCAGCAAAGAAGAGCAGCATCCTCTCCTGGGCTAGTTTGAGTCATGATCATATTCATAGACACTCCCTCCCTCAACTTATCAAGGACTTCACTTGCTACTTCAGTTGAAACTTCCTTGATATTGTTGAAACCGATCCACAAATCCGCCATCTTCTTATGCTGCAGAGCTAGATCAATCGTTTTACCGGTGCAGATGGTGGTGACCAAACCCATTGTGGCACATGCTGGAAGTTTCCTGACCATGGCTCGATGCGACCACATCATTTTCATAGATGCATATGCCAAAGAGATGGAAATTCCTAGAGGCAAGCCATCTCTTGTTGCAAAGACCAATATGCAGAGCATAGAAACCAATCTATTAACCCTTACACGTTCTTGCTTCTTGATAATTTTTGTGGCTTCGCTCATCATCTCCTCCACCGTGTTCTTCACACCTTTGGGATCAGGGTTATGATTCTCGTCACACCACCCTGATTCCAATAGGAAGCATCTGAGTACCTGCGCTACAAGAAGCAGCAATGACAGGCTCAAACAAATCTTTTCCAAACGAGAATAGGTTGTATTAATAGAGCTTTGCAACTTCGACTCCTCATTTGATGACTCCAACAAAAAGTGCTTAATTGTTGGTCTCATCAACTTGATCCTTGACAACTTCTCGATCATTCTTTGGTTCCTCTTGCAAACTCTTGCAATGGCGCCGAAGAAGACAACTGTGAGTATGGCCAGGTACGTAACTACAGCATCAAAGACTGCTCCTTCTGCACCGTTCCTTTTAACGTCGATCACAATGGAAAGTGTGGCGCAGCAGAAAAGGAGGATAATTGAAGTATATTTTTTAAAAACTTCCAAGGCTAGTGTGAAGAAGCCTTTTGTCTTCGTAGAAGGCTGCTCTTCCAGGTTTGGATTCGTACCATGATCAAATGATCTAGTATGATCAGTTGCTTGGTATTGAAGAGAAAGATCTGTTTCATGATCAACTGATATCCCATTTTCAGGATCAGCTTCCAGTGCAGAGACGCCACCTGGTTGTTGATCAAGATAGCCCACATCTTTGGTCTCTGCAAGGCTTTCTTGGCTAATTTCGAAGCTGGAAATGTCTACTGATAATTGATTCCAAATGGGGATTGGGTGATTGGTGGGGTTGATTTGATTCTCAAAGGAGTTATTACAGATGTCGTTGGAGTCTGGAGATGGACAAGGAAGATCAAAGCTATTGTTTTTCAAGATTTGATCCGAATAAACATTAGAAGCCATGTCAACTTGAAGAGCTAGGAATGGTTTGGTTTCGCTTGGTTTAGTTCATTGGAAAAACTAGGAGTGGGATCAGAAGAATATATATAGACGAGTCTTCTACACAGCAGGCATCTACATTTAGATACAAATCAAATCCCTAACCATGTAAAAGTTTCAAGGACTAGTGTATTTGCATGCATTTGCAAGGGAAGCCTCTTGGAAGTTTCGGGAAACAAAATTTGTATTAATTAATCATCATAGATACATGAAAGCATCGGCATTCCTATGTGGCATGGCAATGGTTTAATGGTTAAGATTCATGTCTATAGCATTAATCAACTCTAATTCAATCAATTTAATTACTTTTATCAAATATTAAAATTTGGTGTTAATTAAATAATTTTAATAAAATCACAGCATTAAGTTAANGAAGAATATATATAGACGAGTCTTCTACACAGCAGGCATCTACATTTAGATACAAATCAAATCCCTAACCATGTAAAAGTTTCAAGGACTAGTGTATTTGCATGCATTTGCAAGGGAAGCCTCTTGGAAGTTTCGGGAAACAAAATTTGTATTAATTAATCATCATAGATACATGAAAGCATCGGCATTCCTATGTGGCATGGCAATGGTTTAATGGTTAAGATTCATGTCTATAGCATTAATCAACTCTAATTCAATCAATTTAATTATTTTTATCAAATATTGAAATTTGGTGTTAATTAAATAATTTTAATAAAATCACAGCATTAAGTTATCAAATTAGATTAAAATTTTAAATTCGAATAACATTACTTTTTAATTAATTGTGTCACATATATATAACTCAACTTTTTAACTATCATATCATATTTTGGTTGACCATGTAACTCATGAATCAAACATCTAAAACCAAATCAACACTTATAGTTTTTTCATAAATTAGAAATTAACAAAATATACATAATAATAAAAACAAGTAAACAAAATTCTCTTATATTACAAGGATCCAGGTTTATAATTGATAAAAAAAATAATAAAAATTTTGCATTTTATTCATAAAATACTATTTTGTATTAATCGTATTAATTTTAAGTTATTCGTGTTTAATACTAGTACAACCCGTTTATTATTCGTGTTAACAGGTTGTATTATTTCTAGGTTTATGTCAAAAAATAGTAAAGTCAAGTCCTCTAACTTAATATCGAATTCGAATCTTATTGTTGTTATACAAGCTAAGGAAGAACTAAATAGTAAAATTTGTTAGAGACCAAATGATAGACTAAAGCAAGAACTAAATGACATGGTCCTCTATTAATACTTTTGACCTCATTATTATTCATTTGGAATTTAAATTTACTTGACATGTTTGCATCACATCATCGATCTCTAATATTGNAAAATACTATTTTGTATTAATCGTATTAATTTTAAGTTATTCGTGTTTAATACTAGTTCAACCCGTTTATTATTCGTGTTAACAAGTTGTATTATTTCTAGGTTTATGTCAAAAAATAGTAAAGTCAAGTCCTCTAACTTCATATCGAATTCGAATCTTATTGTTGTTATACAAGCTAAGGAAGAATTAAATAGTAAAATTTGTTAGAGACCAAATGATAGACTAAAGCAAGAACTAAATGACATGGTCCTTTATAAATACTTTTGACCTCATTATTATTCATTTGGAATTTAAATTTACTTGACATGTTTGCATCACATCATCGATCTCTAATATCACGGTGCCGGTCTTTTTGGCCGGATATGGTTGAGAAGAGCAATATTAGATTGCACAAATAATAAACCAAAAAATGTATATCAAATGATGCAGTGCTAATATATTTGTGTTTTTAGTCCTATTTCACATATTTAGAATTCGAATTTTAAAATTGCATCATTTGATCTTTACTTTTAGTATCATTATTTGATAACAGTAGCATTTTTGGTTCGAGGAACACTNAAATAATAAACCAAAAAATGTATATCAAATGATGCAGTGCTAATATATTTGTGTTTTAAGTCCTATTTCACATATTTAGAATTCGAATTTTAAAATTGCACCATTTGATCTTTACTTTTAGTATCATTATTTGATAACAGTAGCATTTTTGGTTCGAGGAACACTGGGAATCCACCATGATAGCCCGAAAAAAACCTATCGAACACCATTAGGTACCAGTGTCTCCGACACTGACTCTGGAGGCATATATCTTCCTCATAATGTGGGTAATGAAACCTTGGGCCTTTTCTTATCTAATATCCACTCATTGTCTGGAGATGGAAAGTGGGGTGTATCTGTGTGTGTGTGTGTGAGAGAGAGAGAGAGAGAGAGAGTTTTTGTGGGCTCTGAATTAGGGTTTCGAGAGAATGGTTGGATGGACATGTGGGTGGAGAATCTGTGACTACTTGCGTATATCACCATACTTTCTTTTTTGAAATGGACGTGAATGGCACGAAATGAACACTAGTGCACTTCTATAAAAGATAATTTTACAATCAAGACTTACTGTACACATTCGTTTATGTGGAACATGGTTTTAAACTTTTCTGTAGTGCAGCTTTCTAAAGCCAAAGCAAAAGCAATGCTGTGTTCATGTTGGATGCCGGTAGTCGCAAAGCTTAGCCGTAACTTGTAGCTTTTGAAAATGTTAATCTTTTAATTCCTCAACATACCGTAAATATTATTGATAGAATGATTGTCTTATGGATGTACTAGTGTCGATCCGATCCGTCCCGTGTGATGCATATAATTTATCTCCCCTGTCACAGTGCCATATCATTGCTCTATATTTTTTGTTCTTTTATTTTGTCAATTTTGTGTTAATTAACTTTTACTTAAACACTGACACCTCAATCATGATCGAACTTTTCCGGTGCCAATCATTTGGTCAAATATGATTGAAGTTTTTGTCTCATATGTAATAATTTAGAATTCAAATTTTAACCTCAAGATCATTTGATCTCATTATTTGATAAGAGCCTAGCATTATTAACGGTTCGAGGAACACCGATGATCCACGATAATAGCCCCAACAAAACTTATCTAACACCGTTACCAGTGTCTCCGACATGTCTTCCTCATAATGCGGGTAATGTCCATCCCGGTCTACCCGAACCAAAAAAAATACTGCGTTGATTTGGTCATAGGTTAGTCAAAAAACTGAAAACAAAATCTTTTAGCCTTTGTTTATCCAGTATCCACTCCGTGTCTGCAGATGGAAAGTGATGTGTGTGTGTGTGTGTGAGAGTGAGAGAGAAACTGGATGAGCAGGTGGGTGGAGAATCTTTGATCATATCCATGTGTGACCGAACTGTATTTTTTAAAATAGTCGTGATCACATACATAAAATAGAGGAATTTTATATGAACTTAAAAAATAGATTTAAAAATTAAATTTGATAATTTTAACTATTGATTTCACTGTGGGTCTCAGCATTTATTGGGACCCACTACCTATTCAATTGTTGAGATTATTAAGTCTACTTTTTAAGTTCATATAGCATTACTCCATAACATATAGGCAAAATTATCTTCGAATCCTTTTTAAGTTTGTCAGTTAATCACTCTGACTCCCTATTATTTGAAATATTACACATAGAATCTTTGAAATTTGTATGCGAATAACACTTATACTTTTGCCGTTAATGTCTATTAATATATTTGTCAGTAAATTATATATAGATTTTCTGAAATTTATAAACATATAATACTTAGATCTTTCAAGTTTAAAATATTATATTTAGACTAAAAATACTTCAATCAAAGATAGAATATTAAATATTTTAAATTTTTTAACCAAAATTCATGTTCTATTATGAATGACTTAGACCTTTTGTTTGATTTTTTTAGTTTTATTTCAATAAATAATATAATTGTATACTAATTACACTCAGATCTTTTGAAATTTGTCACTTAATTATTTACACTATCAAATATTTGAAATATTATCCACAGGCCCCAGAGATTTGTACACACGAAATAATCAAAAATTTATTTACTTTAATAGATATTTTTATAATTTTTGTGAGTCATTTTACAACTAAAAAATTTATCACTTTTGTGAATATTTTTACTATTATTGTAATAACTATATTTATCATTTTTATTCGGCATAAAGAAAAGTTACTATTTTTGTGAATAATCCTTCACGTTTATGAGTATTTTTATCATTGTCGTCACGACTATTTTTACAACTTTTTTTGATACTACAACAGTAATATAAACGTCCACAACAATAATAAAAATATTGACAAATGCGATAACTAAAATATATGCTACCAAAATTTATTTTTTTGGATATCGTAGACAAATTCATATCCACAATATTTTACTTGGANTATATGAGAGACCAGAATAATAATTGTGCACAAGAGGTTGACCAATAGGTCAAAAATTTTAGGGCTCCCATCATGCTTTGTCTTCCCTACTAACGCACAAAAATTCACAGTAAAGGCTGGCATAATCCAACTTTAAACAATTCCATGGCTTCGATTTCAAGAATCCTACATTGCACGTGAAGAAATTTGATGAGGTATGTGGGAATTTTTAGGACTCAGAATTGGTTCAACTAAAGCTTTTCCCCTTTTCACTGAAGGATAAAGTCAAGCAATGACTAAATATTATGAAGCCCCACTCCATACTTAATTGGCATGCACACTCCTAAAGGAGTTTTTCAAAAAAGAAAAAAAAATCCCCATCCACCGCACCAGTGTACAAAAATGTCAAATCATGAATTTTGCTATTAAGGAAGGGAAAAATTTTTATGNGAAATTATAAGTATTTTATTTTAGGTAATTTTTGAGTTGTTGTTCAATCAACTAGTTATATCACGACCGACAAAAGCCAAAGATTTATCACTCATCTCATTTCGTTGCAATTGTCCTTGCTGAAAAGTGCAATTGAAATGTCATTAGTCATTGTCAAACCTAGCCTCAATCAAAATCAATTGACAGACATAAAAACTATATAATACAAAAAAGTAAACACTAGGTAGAAAAGTGTTTTCCATATCTTCGAGGTAATAGTTATCTCGTTATTTT